TTTTTTTGTACAGATAGAATGGGAGGGAGAGAGAGGGAGAAACATCGACGTGAAGGGACACATCGAGTGGCCGCCACCCGCACAACCAACCAGGGCCAGGGACAAACTGCAACCGAAGTATGTGCCCTTAGCGGGAACCAAACCCGGGTCTCTCCGGACCGCAGGCCGACGCTCTAACCGCTGAGCCAAACTGGCCAGGGCAGCAGTATTTTGAACTCAGCATCTGTTAGGTTGCTTATCTCCATTTCTCTTGGTTCTTTTCTTGGGGTTTTTTTCTGTTCTTTCATTTGGGACCTGTTTCTTTGTCTCCTCATTTTGGCTGCCTCCCTGTGTTTGTTTCTATGTATTACTTAAGGAGCGGTATGGGGCTAGCTGAGACCAGATGCTGCTTGTTTGAAAGATCTTAGGAAAACCTGAAGCAGGATCCAAGACAGGCCAATGCTATGGTTAAGCAACTGGCAACAGCTTGGGTGGGCCTGAAAGTTGGGTGGGGCAGGGCCTCAGGGAATCACCAGGGCGGGACTAACAATATGAGCCAGGTTGCTGGAGTCCCAGATATGGTGGGTGTCTGCCATCCCAGGGAAGGGCTCACCAAAGGAACAAAGGCCTCTGACAGCACATCTGTCCAGGAGAAAGCCCCCTCTCCAGCCCTCGCTCCAGTGCCAAACAGCTCAGTTCTTCCCTGTGTGTCTCTGGCACCCCTTCAGCTGCCTCCCCTCCAAGCTTAGAGGGAGTGAGTCCGATAAGTCCATGCACGGGCCCTTTAAGGAGCTGCCTGGGCCTCCAGATGCCTCAGCCTCCCTGAGCCTCAGTTCCCGCTGGTTTTTCCAGCCAGAGGTTATGGGGATTCTCTTCCTGGCACTGGAACCCTGAGCGGGGCACCTGGTGTGGGGCGGGGACCCCTCAGTCCTCAGGGAGGCCCTTCCCAGCCGAGGTGTCCTCCTGATTTTTATCCGCCACACGTGGGTGTGGGACCAGCCTGTCCCCTCCGCCCCTCCTACCAGTCTGGATGCGGCTGCTGCTTTAATTCCGTAGTTGTAGGACTTCCATTCAGCTTGATTTCAGGCGGTTTTGAATGATGGTTGTTCTGTAGTTTAGTTGTAACTTTGATGTGGTTGTGGGAGGACATGATACCGTGTTTACCTACCCGCCATCTTGACCGAAGTCCAAGAAACAGGAATTTTAAAAGCTGCCTGGCATGGTTTTAAAATCTTATTCTATATTTCTTTTCAGTGAAGTAGGGGCCCTCCCAAGCTCTCTCAGATTAATTTGAGTTTAATTTAACAAGTGTGAGCTGAGGGTCCGCGGGGGCAGTGGAGAGGAGCTGACTGCCCTGAAGAGGAGTCACTGTGCCTGGCTCCAGCTCACTTCCTCCGGGCAGTATGGCATTGCCGCCCCACCCAGCCCAAGCTCATTTCTAGCAGGCTACCAGAACACAGGAAACTTTAGGATTAAACAATGTACAGTTAAGTACACCACTTTCCTCGTGTTAAAGTATCAGTGAGCCATTCCTGGCCAGTTTGGCTCAGCGGTTAGAGCATCGGCCTGCGGACCAAAGAGTCCCGGGTTCGATTCCAGCCAAAGGCACGTACCTCGATTGCAGTTTGTCCCTGGCCCTGGTTGGGGTTGTGTGGGTGGCAACCAATCAATGTGTCTCACATGGATGTTTCTCACACACACACACACATACACACTCTGTCTGAAGATAAATGTAAAAAAAATATCCTCGGGTGAGGATTAAAAAAAAAAAAAGAATAACGTATCAGTGAGCCAAAAAGTTTTGGGTTTTAATCATGACCTTTGCATTTCACAGGTATGGGGCCTTGGAGAATGTACTAACCCTCTCTGACTCTGGCTCCTTTATCTATAAAATGGAAACCCCTTTTCTTGCATCCACCAGCCTCACCAACTTGGTTGGTGTTCTGGGTGCTGCTTAGTGGGGCCCTGAACACTTGTTTCCCAACCCCAGAGCTGTACCCATCTCAGCCTGTCCAGTCCAGGGTGAGTTCCCTGGGCCTTCCACTCCTACGTCCCTTCTTTTGCTATTTTAGCTCTTAAGGCCTGGTCCCCATACTTCCTCTCTGGGCCATTTCACCTTGCGTTCTTTTTCTGTTTTCGAATTTACCATTTTCTTTTTACCAAAAAGGCCTCTGGGAGCTCGCCAGTGTAGAAACCCAGGTGACTTAAATCACCACTTCCAGGATTCTCATGGCCTCTTCAGGGAATCAGGTTAGGGACACATGGGCAAGTTAAACACACCCACCACCTCCCCTCTGGATTCTTGGCTTTCCTTTCAGACAATGAAGACAATGCACCTCGTATCCCTCTCTGATTGACTCAGTGGCTTCTTGTAACTGATTCATCTCAGGTTCTGGTGTCATTTTTTCTTATTTCACTTTAGACTTGTTTCATTTTTTTTCTTTTATTTATTTATTTTTCTTTTTACTGTTTTTTTTTTTTTTTAGAGAGAGGAAGTGGGGGTGAGAGAGATAGAAACATCGATGAGAGAGAGATCATCGAGCCCTGGCCAGTTTTGCTCAGTGGTTAGAGCGTCCGCCTGCGGTCCGGAGAGACCCAGGTTCGGTTCCTGCTAAGGGCATGTACCTCAGTTGCAGTTTGTCCCCGGCCCTGGTTGGGTTGTGCGGGTGGCAACCGCTCGATGTGTCCCTTTCAGTCGATGTTTCTCTCTCTCTCTCTCCCTCCCACTCTATCTGAACAAAATATCGAAAAATGTCCTCGGATAAGAGAGAACATCGGTTGGCTGCCTCCTGCATTCTCCCCAGTGGAGATTTGGCCCACAACCTGGGCATGTGCCCTGACCAGGAATCAAACCGGCGACCTCTTGGTGCATGGGTGGATGCTCAACCACTGAGCAACACCAGCCAGGCAGGTGTTCTAACTATTATGTGCTCTCCCATATCTCAATGTGAGTCCCATTAGCTGTTACAGGAACAGTCAGGACAACTTTGTGACTATAAAACATGTAATTTTGAAGTGATATGTTAATTACTGTTTCTACTTTTCTTCTTTTTGCCCATCCCTCCATTTTCTTCTAAGAATAAATTCCAGTGTTGTTGTTTTTTTCCTTCTGCCTCTATTTATAAAAAAATACTCTTTTTCTCCGTGACTATAGTGTGAAATGCCCATCAGTGGTGACAGACAGAGAGACCAAGAAGTTCATTTCAAAGAACTGAGAACAACAAAAATGAAACCTGAAGTACTGAGTGGACACATCCCTTCAGGCCACATTCCCAAACCTATCATGTTGCCTGACTATGTGGCGTGAGTATCAATATAAATCCTTCTTCAGGGTAGAAACTTAGAGTTTCCATTTGGGCTTTTCATTTTCCCATTTGTCTCCACGTTAACCCTCTCTGCTTAAACTCAGTTATATCTGAACATTGTTACCTGCAAGGCAGTGTGTTGAATTGACGGTACACAGTGTGGTCAGTGAGGGATAAGCCAAGCTGATTTCCTGTCCAGCTTGTTTTAGTGAAAAAGTTATAACTCTGATTAATCCCCCCACCCCCCAGAAAATACCCTGTGATCCGGACGGATGATGAACGAGAACGCTATAAAGCCGTGTTCCAAGACCAGTTTTCAGAGTACAAAGAACTCTCTGCAGAAGTTCAGGCCGTCTTGAGGAAGTTTGATGAGCTGGATGCAGTGATGAGCAGACTGCCACATCACTCGGGAAGCCAACAGGTCTGTGTCAGCAGCTGCTTAGGAAAGGATAACATCTGACCTGTTTGAAATGTAGAGAAGCCATTAACCACATGCATCTGCTGTCTGTGTCTAGGAAAGTCACTTGAGGTCTTCAAGGTGACTAGTCAAGGTTACAATTCAAATGATATAATTTAATGTCTTCGGACTTCAATTATTAAACAGTATTTTATTTTCTTATTTCAGTAAAGTATAAATTTGACCAAGATACATATTGAGTCAATCAGGATCCCAGTGGAGACAGCTGGCATACTCAAACTAAGATATTTTGAGGAGGTTGTATTCACAAAGGAGTGGGTGGTATGTAGAGGGGCACTGCATTCTCCACGGGTAAGTAACAGCTGAGTAGGTGCCACTCAAGGCCCACAGAGCACAGTGGGTAAGGATTGAGAGTAGATCTGAAGCTGCAATCGTGAACTCCTGGGCACATACGTCTGACTGATAAATGTGGATCATGCAGAGAGGAAAACCAGGGTCGGGAAGGCAGCCCTGAGACTCAACTGTTTTCTATAATGTTCTTTTTTTTTTCCTGTAATTCCTTTTTATTTCACATTTTAATATCATCCTTTTTTGCCCAATGTACATTTTTTGTTGAAATATAATTTACGCCCTGGCCAGTTTTGCTCAGTGGTTAGAGTGTTGGCCCACAGTCTGGAGAGACCCGGGTTTGGTTCCCGCTAAGGGCATGTACCTGGGTTGCAGTTTGTCCCCGGCCCTGGTTGGGGTTGTGTGGGTGGCAGCCAGTTGATGTGTCTCTCTCACATCAGTGTTTCTCTCTCTCTCTTCATCCCTCTCTCCCTCCTGTTCTATCCGAAGATGAATGCAAGAATGTCCTCGGGTGAGGATAAAAAAAAAGAAAGAAAGAAAAATAATTCACATACCATAAAATTCACCCTATTTGAGTGTACAGTTCAGTGGGTTTTATAATATTAACAAAGCCATACAACCATCATCAATCTCTAATTCCAGAGCACTTTTCATCACCCCAAAAAGACACTTTGTACCCATTAGCACTCATTCCCCAGTCCCGCCTCTCTCCAGGCATTGACAACTGCTAATATACTTTCTGTCTCTGTGGATTTGCTCATTTTGAGCCTTTTATATAAATGCAGTGATATAATGTGGCATTTTATGTCTGGCTGCTTTCACTTAGTATAGTGTTTTCTTTTACAAAAAAATAGGTTCCATTTATTGATTGAAGAGATGGAGTAGGGGGAAAATATTTTCATATACTGTTAGTGGAAAGCAATCTGGCATCACAAAATTAAATGTAATTACATTATCCTGGTAGCTTAACTAGAATTCCTGAACTAATAAGACTTTCTGTGATAGAACACAAATTCAGGAAGTTGTGTGGATCATTAGTGTTGCTTTCTTCCAAATGAACACCCTTCCGTGAGTCTAGCCTTTCCTCCTGTCGGCTGGCACAATACTGTTGAACAACCTACACAAAGAACCACGGTCTGAGCATGGCTGAAAACCGTAGTGATCTTGTAGCAACCTGGACATTTTACATCCATAAAATAAGAATTTGGACTCTGAACTAGCTGTTTCTTTTTATGTTTTTTCTTTTCCTCTTCCAAGGATGGATGTAGTAAATCTCTAGCCAAAGGCATGTTGATCCTCTCGCAAGCGCAGCTGGTGGAGATCTAGTATAATGTTTTCAAGGTGCATCTGTATTATAGCAAGAATCACTACTTAATTCCTTTTGGTGGTGGGATAATAACATTCTGTTATATGGATATACCATATTTTTTAAGAGGATGTATTAATCTAATCTATTACTTATGTAAGAATTTACACGGCATTTTAAAATAATTCCAGAAAGATTATTGTATATATATATGTGTGTGTGTGTGTATGTGTATATTTTTGTGTGTGTGTGTATTCTTTTCCTTAGACCCATATAAGTTGGGCATCTTTGTTTTAACCACAGACCCTTTTGTTTGGTACGTGCCCCTAGTGGGAACCAGACCTGGGACTCTCTGGTCCGCAGGCCAACACTCCAACTGCTGAGCCAAACTGGCCAGGGCTTAACCACAGACTTTTAAGTATACCTTTAAATCAGGTATAACTGTCAGCTATCTAAGCCAAATGTGTACAGCAGCAATTTTCAATCTTTTACATCTCATGGCACACGTAAGGTAATTACTAAAATGCTACAGTGCACCAAAAAATATATGTTTTGCCAATCTGACCAAAAAAAAAAATAGGTATAATTTTGATTCATTCACACTAGATGGCTATTGTTGTTTTGCCTGTTGTCATTTTTTTATTTAACAGTCTAAGAGAAAAGAGGTCAGTGTCCCTGACAGGTATTGCATGTTAAAAATTCTTATGGCACACCGGTTGAAAATTGCTGGTGTAGAATAGTGACATTTTCCCAATCCTGGAGCAACGTGATAATGTTGGCTAAGTGACCCTGGTACCAGGAAGCAGGAAAAAACCAGCAAATACTGCAGGTCAAGGGTCAGTCAGTACCATTTGGAAAACGAGCAAGGTCCACAAAAGGCGACCACATTTACTGACCCTTGAAGGAGTGCAGGAAGGACCGATCAGGCCCTAGGAACCTGGATCAGCATAGGTTGGGAAGAGTGAGCTGGTCGACAGCATGCTGAGAAACCCTACCGTTACCGGGAGTCTCTAAGCCTAGACCCCGGTGCTGGTCTGTGGGCGTGTGTGACTGGGGAAGGGCTCAGGCATGTGGGTCAGTGTTGGTGCTGAGAGACTGAGTCCTCCCTTGGCGTTTCCACAGAGCATCAACAGTAGTCATTTCCTCTGGTTTTTAACATGGAATGGCAAGTAGGTAGCCAAATGACAGGGCCACATTTAGTCTCAGTGTCTCCTCCAGTCCTTATCTAAAGTAGAAATATTCATTGTATCACAAATGTTCACCTCTCTTTGGCCACAGGTGGAGCTTTGCCATGGGCAGGAGTTTGCCAGTAAGGCTCATTCATCTCTCAGCAGGTCCCCAGGGAGCTGTTTTAAAGCCCAGTGGGCCTGCCTGGAGGCACAGGTTCTCTCACAAACCTAGTTGTGGCCCTTGAAAAATTGAACAATCACATGACTTTTCTAAGCCCATTAAATAGGAATATTGCTCCAAATCATCCCTCTGATCTTCACCCTCCTAAATTCAGTTTCTCTCACAGACGCTAAGATAGGTTTTACTGCTGTCTTCTCTGTGTGCGTCTCCTGCACAGCTGCCCTGGCCCCAGGCGGCTAGTTCCCTCCCAGGCCAGGACCCGTTAACATAGATGACAGCTCAGTCACCAGGTTCCTGTCTCTGTGGGCAGCCTGCAGAACACAACGGTACTCATGATCACAGTATGTAAGAGACACTGATAAATTAAAATGTATTGGGAAAAGGAGACAGGTAAGTGACAGAAAATGTCCTCTGGGAAACTTTTAGAACTATAAATTATTACATTTTAATTTTCATTTATTAGATTCACAGTATCTGACAGTCTCTATAGCATAGGTTTCATAGATAAATGAAGGCATTGCTTTAGTCATCTGTTCCCTTTGGATAGACTATTCAACACCTTAACCAATTTTATGTTTATTATAAAACTTAAAGTTAGAAGGAACATTATATTAGCTACTTTAAAAGTCGAATAGTCTCGCCCTGGCCAGTTTGGCTCAGCGGTTAGAGCGTCGGCCTGTGGACTGGGGAGTCCCAGGTTCGATTCCCGCTAAGGGCACATACCTCAGTTGCGGTTTGTCCCCAGCCCCAATTGGGGTCGTGAGGGCGGCAGCCACTCCATGTGTCTCTTACATCGATGTTTCTCTGTCTTCTTTCCTCCCTCCCTCCTGCTCTATCTGAAGATAAATGCAAAAATATCCTCAGGTGAGGATAAAAAAAAAAAAGTCAAATAGTCTCAATCTCTTAATCCCGATACCTAATAACATGAAAAAGAATTTTCCAACAGGGATAAAAACAGTGCTTCATAATAGGTAATGTGATCATTAGGCACCAACCATTTTACAAGGGTCATTTCAAATAAGTGAACCTTCTCACAACCCTTTGAGGTAGTTATGGTTATTATTTCCACTTTACCAATAAGGAAACTGAGTCTTTGGAGGGTAAAGAGCTTGCCCAGGGTCCACAGCTGGCAAACAGTGGCACTGGGACCCGGTTCAGGTTTCATGCAGGCAGGGCCTCTCTGACCACCCCTTAATCCCAGTGTCTGGCACATAGTAAGTTCTCAAACGTTGTCCAGTGACTTGCATTTTTATATATGAATATGGTCATTACAGCCTTAGGTAAAAAAAATGTTTTTGGTTCTAATTCCTAGAGTACTAGAGACATTCTTGAGATAGGATGTTAGTAAATACCAGTGTTTTAATTCAAGTGTACAATATATTGTTTTTAGGAACATGAGAGAATTTCAAGAATCCATGAAGAATTTAAGAAAAAAAAGAAGGTTAGTAAAACTATTTTCTTCAAAGTATATTCTTATCCAAGTACAATGGAGAAAACTGATAGACCTTAGATTCTTTTAGCTAAAGTAATTCTTCTTTTGTATTTCTTTTTCTTTTTTTTAATTGATTTTTTAGAGAGAGAGGAAGGGAGGGAAAGAGAAACATCGATCGGTTGCTTCCTATATCCCAACTGGGAATTGAATCCAATACCCGGACATTTGCCCTAACTGGGAATTGAACCGGTAACCTCGTGGTGCATAGGATGATACTCAAGCAACTGAGCCATACCAGCAGGGCTTTTTTAGTGTGTGTTTCTTAAGATGCTACTTGTTAGGGAACCAGAGGTTCCTACGGGACACCTTTTCTTATGTCTGTTCTGATGACATTCTGCTGTGTCCTGATTTAGCCACCCAGGGAACTGAGCACTGCTACAGAACTCGTCACCCACATTTCCTTCAGAAAGATTAAGTTATTTTACATGTTTCTAGCTCCATCCTTAATTGCACAAATCAGTAGAGGCTGGAGAGAGCTTTTTTTTTTTTGTAATGCCCTGACCGGGAATCAAACCGAGACCTCTCAAGTCCATGGGCCAGTGCTCAATCCACTGAACGACACTGGCCAGGCCAGAGAGAGCTTTCATTAAATGTTTCTATACTTATTATTTACTTTTAATGTATTTTAAACTACTAAAGTTAAGTATGCCTCAGCTCTTTGTACTTCTTAACTTTGCTGGGAACCTAAAACTATTCTAAAAAATAAAGTCTACTGAAAACCTGTGGAGAGCTTAATTGGTTTTCTTACTAAGCAGATTTTGAACTGCTGAAGGAAAATCTGCTATGAAGGGTCATTTTTGGGGTGATAATGTATGTTTCTGTGTTATTTGCTGAGGAAGCATCCATCGGCTGATTAACAACTGTTTCTCTTTTCCAGGATCCTACATTTCTGGAAAAAAAAGAACGCTGTGATTATCTAAAGAATAAACTTTCTCACATAAAGCAAAGAATTCAAGAATATGATAAAGTAATGAATTGGGATGTAGAAGGTTATTCTTAAACCTTATCTGAAACCACTTTTTTATAACAAACAATATTTATTTGTTTTTGTTATTTTTAATGTTAGTCTCTGTGATATTTGAGAAGCAAGTGCTTTCTAAATCAGCTTCTAGTTGGTTTAGCTTGTCTGTAATGTTAAACCAGTATGATTTCACATCAAACATTTCGGAAAAAATCCAAATTTAATAAGAGTGGAAGACATGAACAGTTTATATTTATCTTGTTTCACTTAAAAGTGATTTAGAGATCATATCCTAGGGTGTGAGAGCAAGTGGAGTATCAGTTCTGGTGCTGAGAATGTCTAGATTCTGGTGCTGTAGAGGATTAGATTTTCCTTTTTTACTCAGGCTGATTCCTAAGATTTTCTAGGACAAATTTCTCTTCCTAGTCAAAGGGTATCATTTTATTCCCTTGAAAGGGGTTTGAATCCAAGATCAACATTTTCAAGCCTAATGATCTTGGGTAAGCTGCTTAATCTCTCTGCCTATTTCCGCATCTGTAAAATGGGGCTAATAATAGTACCTACCTACAGGGTTGTTATGAGGATTAAATGAATTAATATTTGTCAAGTACTTAGAACAGAGTCTAGCACATTATAAGCACTATATTAGTGCTTGTGAAATCTGTAGAAATGCTCGTAAAATAAATAAACTATCTAGAATCAGTCTCGAGGAAAGGTCCTGATGAGCAAGCCCAGCCAGCTAATCCAAAGGCGTGTGTCTCCTGACCTTCTCCTGTGTGCCTTAAGCAGATGCTTTCACTGTGGTTCTGTGCCCTGTGGGGTACAACACAACCTTCCTATGTTTCATCAGTATCACTGTGTATATATCTCCAGAGCCCAGCTGCTCCTGTGTACATCACATCACATAAAAGGGCGGTGTGAATGTTGTGGGCTTTTCTCTGCTGTTTGGACATGTATCCTCAGGCCCCATGACGTTACATTTACTTAGAATCCCCCTTCCATTTATTGGGATAATTCTTCCCAAGAAGTATCTTGGCTTTGGGGCTTTATTCATGAGAAATATTTTATTTGTATTAGTATGAACAATAAACTGCCTTAAGTTTTTTTTTTTTTTAATCCTTATTATTGGATCCCATTCAGCAGCATTTATCTTATAATTTCCCCGGTGTAGAAATACAATT